GGGAATATAATACTGCAGTCATCCTCTCAAAAAAACGTATTTCTTTTTTTTTTGCGGGAGTGATGTGTTCGGTCGTCAGCTCTAGAGCGCGCCCTCGCTGGGTTGGATCGCGGTTCGGGCTGTATGGGCAACGAGCTGCTCATACGAGAAATCACTCCGAGGTTCCACCAGTCTGAGGAGCGAGGAACCTTCGCTTCGCAGATGACACTGGTCTTGGTTTCAGAACATGTTACTCCTATCGCCGGATATGAACTCGGTGTGTTGCAATCTTTGATTGTTTTTTCAATATGAAAATTAGCCGCGTATTGTCATGAGGAATTCCGAAGTTGCTTAGAGTCAGCAGAGTGAGTTATCGTATTATTTAGGGTATCTCCGAAACCTCTTCAAGGCATCTTTAATGTACGGCGCCATCAATGCAGCTGACGCGAGTTCCCGCCTTTATTCATAAAATCTTGTAAACATCCGCAGCCCTCAGAAGCACAGGCGCACGCAAATATCTTTAGACAATACGTCCTCGTATAAAACAAAAGCCTGCGGCCGAGCTCACCATGAACAGATACACTGATACAAGCGCCTGTGTTTTTACAAGTGTATACATGGAGTTCCCGTGACGCCGTCGCGCCGTGCCTATGGTCAATCCTTTTCGTTCTAACCGAGAAAAAATCTATGGTGCAAACCGAATGAATGCTGCAGAAGCTATATACGCTTAGCACAAAGGCTATACCACAATTGCCGCTGATTTCACGTCAGAGCAAGCCAGGTTTTGGCAAGGAGATATAACTCTAGACAGCGCTCTGTTGAGTTTGTGCACACATCTGTACTAGGACCGTGCGAATAGTGGTTCAAATCAAATAGCGGCGCTTTCTTGGTAGCCTTCACAGTGCTGGAGAAACCCAGGAAATAATGACTCCCTGTTACCACTGTTGGAGCTAGAGATAACGCTGCACTATTTGATTCAAAGCACTATTCGCACACTCTTAATGTTCAGTCAGCTGGATCTTAGTATTCCTCTTGAGGCGTCTCACATATCCAATTTAGATGAAAAAGTTGGCTCTCTCAGTGCAACTGCTACTCTGTTGTTCTTAAGGTGCAGTACGTTGCGGTGTCTCACAAACCCACTCGGGTAACAACTTGCTTGCCACAAATCTCTGGGTTTAACAGGGTGTAAGTTACACGTTATATATCGTACCACGACCTCCGAAACTCTTTGCGCGCAAAGTTATTCTCTGGCTCCTTCTAAACGCTCAGCTGCCCAGCAAAATGGGCGGATAGCGCACAGCTTCTCCAGAGATCTGCAAGGTGCTGCGAGTTCAGGGATACCAACACACAGGTAAAAGGTGTGCACACAGCAATATGTGGCACCAAAAAAAAAAAAAGAACCCTGCCGAAGTTAGGGCACGAGCGGCGTGGCATTTTAATTCGAGCCGAAAGCTCTGGCGCTCCAGGCATGGCAGGTTTTTATTTCAGTTTCTACCACGCCGGTCCTCGCTATCTGCAGCAAGGTAGGTGCAGCTCTGGTGATAGGTAATCTTTCAGGTGCGTATTTATTCCGCTGGGATTTTATAGGCTGTGGTCGTTTCTGCTTGGTATAATTTTGTGTGCATTTATTCTACACCCTTCCCGGTTTTAAGTGAGCAACACTAGTATTTCAAACTGCCGCTTTTTGAAAAAGTAATGTGTGATGTGGTGAGAAGCTAGGAGTATATTTCCCGCGAACGAGCGCATTTTCGCCGTTCATCCCGCAAATATTTTACCGTGTTTGCTCGAGTAATGGCAGCGGTTCTTATGAACAAGGCCCTTGAGTCTACTTTCATGCAGAACACAGAAGCAGTCAATTATCGCGTTCTCCATTAAAACCCAGCGACTAACAGCGTCGTGAACGCGATTTTCCGTAAAAATTATATCTGAGCTGATAGCGTTTTTGCATGAAGACCTTATCTCTGTCCCGTAAACCGCTGCAATTTTACTACCGATAGCGGTGGTTCGCTATTCCCGTGCTCCACAGCAGAGCAGCTACAGACGCTCTGTTCATAGACAACGCGGCTATTACTCGAACAAATACGCTATGCGCTAGTGTTTCCCTTCCGGGCATCAACGCCCGAGCTATATACCCAAGCTAGCGAACAGACCCGGCGAAGAAAAAACGCAGGATATTTCCGCAGCACGGTGGCTCAATGCGCTTGGCAACATATTTCTTCAGTTTATCCGCGAATGGAACGGCCTGAGGCCGTTCCATTCGCCTGTTTCACTTCCTGCACCCCAAAACTTTTCGGGGGCCATGATATTATACCGTGGTTTATTACCCAGCACAATGCTCGTGCACTAAAATATCACGTCTGCTACCTCGATTGAGCGTGAAGCACAGGCTGGGCAGGAGTGCGGCGTCAGCGTTCAGCGGGAACTCGTGTTCGATCGGTACTTTACTGACTGAGCAGCAGTTGCAGCCGAAAGCTCCGCCTAAAGCAAACCGGTTCTTTTATGTTTATTGCTACCACAGCCTATGTGGATTGCTAAGGTGTGACGCAAGATGGCCTGATTTCAGCACCCAGAGAAAGAAAGCGCATGACCTACAGCTCGATAGCAGCCGACGTTTCGAGCCGAGGCACCAGTCAGGCTAAGCTGAAAGCTATCGGTCACGGCGTCGTCGTTTTTCTTTGCATTGTTATTGGCCGACTCGTTCTGCTCTGCGCCTTTAATATGTGCGCATGCGTCGCTGCGTCTTTTACAGCCAGTCACAGCTTAAAAAAACCTCGCGGCGTGGATTAATATTTTTATAAATCTTTCCTCTTTATTCAATTCTTTTATGCTTTTATTAGCTAATGGTGCGATTTCACTTGGCGTAGTACGAAAATAAGATGCGCGAGACTCGCCGTGTCCGGAGTTTTTTTAACACTCTGTGAATACAGGCATTTACAACTATGATCCGACAGGGTGAAAAGAAGTTTAGAGGCGGCGGTGCGAATCTCGCACTGTTCATTGATTCATATGACACGGAATCTGCCGACTTCGGATATCAATAGATTTCGTTTCTTTATTGTTCCCAATGCCAAAAAGTGAAATCAACTCAAATCCAGCAACGCGTTGAATATGCGACGCGTTTGTGGTGCCTATCCGCTGAGCTTGTAAACTCCCGAAAGAAGGAGCGCCACACGTAGTGGAAAACCAAATCCGGCTGTAATGCTTTCTAAGCTAATCCCCGATTGACTTCCGGCTATCGATTTGGCAGTTGTTTTTCCAAGTGGGGCAAAGTCGGGTGTAGAAAGTGGTAATCAAGCGATCGGGAATTTTGGTGGACCATGGAGAAAGAGGCGGAAAGTATTGAAAAAATTGCTAGAAAAGAAAGCAGGTTCGAGGTTAGGTATATTTGATTTGGCGTGACGCCTTGAAGTTGCCCTCAATGCCATGGTTTCGAGCGGCCTCTCCGCGCGAGGTTTTGTGCAACAAAAGCATTTGCACCGTTGGACTCAGGTAGAGTCCCTGTATACAACCTACAGTAGGGAGCAGAGTTACGCGTTCATCCATCTTAAAATTGAAAGTTATGTGCGAAAGTCACTTTCACGCGTGTAGGAGACGTGTGTGCGGCTGGAGGTTTGCGCTCGTTATTTTTGTTATCATTTTGGCGGCCACGTCGCACCTGAGTATGAAGTGCGCAGTAAATATTTCGTCTAGGTATTTAGAACGCGCACCAGGCAACACAGCACGCAAATGAAATTTCAATTATGTTTTTTTCCGACTAATTTAGTGTCATGTGCAGGCACGCCTATGCGTCGTTTTGGGGCCTGTTGAGGCCAATAATTACGAAAGATTTGATTACAGTATGCGCACTAATCCCGTTTGTTGGCGCAAAATGTCGGCGTTCTGACATAAACGCCGTAGTGTACATTAAATGCTTGCGTATTTGCAGTTTAGCGATCGCAACGGACTGCGACTCGGATATATGCAAGCGTGTTACTGGTCATATGTCTTAAAAAAAAGTTAAGTGCCCGAAATCTAGTACTTAACAAAACACTCTGGTTGCCTCATCTATTCCTCTTAAGAATTAGCGCAATTATGAAGGCTAGAAACCAGTTTTCCTACCAGCAAAAATAAAACATATTTTATGTAATAAATTATATTGGATATGCCAGGGTTCAATAATTTAATGGCCTAGGAAGTGAAGAACTAACAAGTTTGAATGAGCGTTTTCTTTACGTGGACATTGTTTTCTTTGTGTTTCTCTTCTTGCGCTAGCTACATCATCCGCGGGATGTTGTGTCACTGGTATTTATTGCACATTTTTTAGCATCCATACGACGAAGGAGTTTAGATAAATTGATGGTATACGTGCTCACTCAAAAGCAAAAGATGTTAGCACAGTTCACTAGCGGCTAGTTAGCAGCTAGCGGCTAACGGAGCTGAGGAGTGGCTGTAGCAGAAGCTTCCCCGCACACTCTTTGATTTTTTTCTTCACGTAATCGAATTTGCACAAACGGCTCGGCGATGCTTGGAAAACAGGCACGCAACTCTGGCTCCCCACACGCGGTGCCTGTATAGTAACTTTAGGCTAAGGCGCCTGTGCCTTAACCCATGTAGCACACCAGAGAAACGCCTTAACTTGGTACAAGATGGCAATCCTATAGGGGCCTGACTTGGCCCTAATATCGTTTTGCTCCATGGCGTTAGTATGTGTCAAAGTACTTTTCTTTGTCGTTTTTATGGCTTCTTTCTGGCCCACCACACAATTGCCGAAGTGCCATAGTTGAGCCAAACAAAGTTAGATGAATGCCGAGTTATAAAAACAGTAAAGTCTACGACGGGCACTATTTTTTTTGGCAAATTACGGACCCAAAGTTTCGACATAAAAACCGAACAACAAGAAGTGGAGCCTAGCTCTCGCACTTGTTTGGCGAATTAGGACTAAGATATCCAGATTTGGACCAAAGAGGTTCAATTTTTACTACACCTTGACATCTCCCTGCTTTTCAAGGCCTTAAATACCCAAACAAAAGCCAACTTCTCACCAAACGAACTGTACTTTCTGGGTTTAGCAGCACCGTAGCCATTTGTAAGATGAAGTCAAATTTCTGTTTTGTTCGTTTTTATTCCGCACGCGCTGATGTAGGTTTCCCAAAAGGCTAACAAATACAGCAATAAAGTACTGTTCAAATATATTTGAGTATACTGCAATATGCTCTGAATTAATAAAGTTAAGTTTTAATAGTGTCACCTATTGAAGGTGCTAAACTAGGGTTCAACTTAAATGTTTAACTGGGCCAACCTGCTTTCCTATGTCAAGAACTAAAATTTCCGCGTCTCCTCTTAAACGTCAGTTCAATTGGCTTAACTTGAAATTATTTTTTTTTAAAGCTTAACTTCTATATTTCCTTTCATTTCCCCTAATTTTATTGCTGATATATTCCTCTCGGCGCCCATTTATTTCCTATTCTTGTTGGTGTTTGTATTTTTCCTGTTCTTCTTGTCCATCTGACGTCAGTTGGTCACCAGTTGCCCTATCTACTTCTTACTTGTCCTTGTGAGTTTTGTTTGCTTTAACTGAGGTGGCCGGCTGATAGCCATCATGTCTGAAATTATGTTTGCGTACACACCTCATCATTTTCCATAAGAATTGAAGCACTGACGTCATCAATGCTAATGCCACACTTATCCTTCCACTCAGCACACGAAGCGCAAAGAGGAAAAGCTTTGTATCGGTAGAAACAGGTCCCCACCAATAGATCTTGAAATGTCCTAACCTCACAATCCAGGAAAAGAACCATTTCCAGTGACTTTAGAACTATCGTTTTAAAGACACAATCCTAGAAATCTAATTCTTTAAATATTTCCAGCGGCATTCGTCTAGAAGGTTAAACCATCTTTTTATTACTATATTTAGTCACTGCTTAGCCTGAAAACCCTACCTTTGTAATGGTCCAACTTCCGTACTTAAATTACCGCAATTGGATTGCTTTTAGACACTTTTTTAATTTTATATCAAACACATTTGACTAAACATAATTGCATTCGTAATTTAATTACCTTTAGCGTCCGTAACCGCAACATTTTGTTTACAGTAATGGCAACGGCTCTTCGTTACTTTGTTACTCTGGAGCTTTTGTTTTACAATTATTGGCAGGTGAAATCACGTGAGTGTCTGCTTGCTTTATTTCCCGTATATTGGCTCGTGAAACATAGTAAGCTACGAGTCTGCACCCGAGCTTTGACCCTTAACTAACAGCTGAAAAGCTGTCCAAGTCACAGCTTCCACAGAAGGGCACAGAACGTTCCCCACGCAAAGCGAAAGATTATTTATTCAACAGCGGGGAGAAAAATAATAAAAAATAATTCAATTGTGATGGGGACATTGCGTTGCTTATCGCCATAGGTTTCGTGTTAAGAGGTTTTATTTTGCTCATTAAAATTTCTTTTTTTTTAGTTATCTTTTTTTTACGGATTCTGTTTTTTTAGTATATTTATTGTTGATGTTGAGCGAAAAAACTGGTGTTGGTCAGGGCTTATGGGGAAGAAAATAGAACACAGGCATAGGATTCTCAAACCTCCAGGGATTATGCGGGTAACTTGAATACTTAGAAAACATCCCGGGTCAGATAAGAGAAAGAAGCTGGATACGGAATGTAAGTGAAGGAAGCATTAAAGGAATGCTGAACCAAAACTTGGAGCTCACAGAACACGGCTTGACCGATAGGTGGGATCCTGCAAAACCTAAAAACATCACTCATTTAGCGACATATCTAACGGATGGCCTTATTTTTGGAAAACAAGTGCGAGATTGAACATGGCCGAAGAGGCGGACGAGGCATTTGACGTCACCATTCTCATTCCCTCTGTTCTTCGTTTCATACCCTCGAGCTGGTGCACTGAAGCAAGGAAGGGAGAGACCGGGGCCGCTTTTCCTGATTCTCAACTGTTCCAGGAGTATTATGACGTCATAGTCATCGCTTGACCGCGCCCCTTTTTTCTGAAAATGCGTCCGTCTGTTTGAGATATCGAAGTACGAGCCATAATTCGGAGTTCATTACATCCCGTTCAAAGCTTCTGCGGCTTTATATTGTGAAATCTAAATTTCGGTTCAGCATCATTTAAGCAGTCTGGCGGACAGTTCAGTGTAGGCTATTTTCCCGTTCAAAGCAGAATGGAAGTCTAGGTAACGGTCTCTTTCTTCCTTGAGACTTAGCTTTGCTTGATTAGGGGCAGCTCCGATTCGGAGTTTTAGGAGTTTCCCCGATTTTGAAAAAACAAGGTTGTGGATTAATTTTCGGCGTTTATCGGTGTTTATCAAAAACATGTGACCGTAGGTACTTTGACAATCCCTGTTGGCCATCTCCCGAATAATAAAGAGCCTGAACCTCCAATAGATTTCGTTTCAGTTTCTATAGTAATACCAATAAACTATTTTCTTCGAACTGCAATAATGAAAAGAACCCCGACAATATTTTGAACACACAGCTACTAAACTGGCGAGCTGGTCTCGGTTACACGTAATTTAAACCGGAAGGGACGGACAAAAAAAGGGGATTACACGGACAGACTTCTCATATCTTAAACAACGGTGTGTTGCCGTCTTTCCTCGTTCGTTATCTCCGGTTTAAAATATGCGTAAACTAACTACTTTAGCAGTGCTTTATTTTGATACGTTGCTGGCACGAATTCAGTGCTCAGTCTATGTATCATCTCATGAAACGTTAAGTGATACCAAGGCGGAGACTGTGACGAACATAAATCGCTGCGTTATGAAACCTTAACAGTCAGACTAAGAATAAACGAATGCATCTTAGTGTGAACTAACACTGCCACTTCGGCATCATTGAAGTTGTGTAACTCCCGTAAAAATGTAATTGCGAAGGAATTTCATTACTTTCTGAAAGTGGTACTTCATTGTAATTTATTTCTAAATTTTGGTCACTAGTAAATATAATTACGATCAAATACTTTCGTACAAGAGTGACTGTAACAATATATTGTTACAGTCACTCTTGTACGAAAGTATTTGATCGTAATTATATTTACTAGTTGTGATAACTTGAGCAGACGACATTCCAACGGGCAAAGAGGGCTTCTTTATTGAACGTGCTATACTTATAGGCGCTTGTCACGTGACATCCGTGACCGGGGTGCGCACAGCCGATGCGCCGTGGTGCGCCGTGACTTGCAGCGCCACGCTGCTACATTCCTTCCCCCTCACATCAGCTTCGGAAGTCCTCCGGTTTGTACCTGTCCGGTGGACGCCGCACTCGCGTACTTCTTCTGGAAGTCGGTGCCTCAGTACAAGGCTCCGGTGTCGTCACTGGCGCACTTGTGGAACTCGGTGGTGGAAGCGGCTGCTGACGCGTCCGTGTAGCTTGTTGACTGCCGGCTTGAGAGTCCGCTGGCATAGCAGCAGAAGCAACTTGTGGCACCATCGGCTGGGTTTCTCGAGGCACCGGAACATCTGGGAGCGTAGGCTCCTCCGGCGTAGGCGGTGCAGCAAGGGACGTCGGGCTTGCAAGGCGGTCTCGGATGTGGTCGGCGTGTGTGAACCGCACAACCTGCGCCACTTTCACTAAATATGTCACAGGACTGACGACTTGAGTCACCACACCTTCTTCCCATGACACTAGCTCGCCTCGCACCGTTTTGACCAACACAGTATCACCCACAACAAAAGACCGGTTAGCACCTCGCGACGCATCACTCTGTTCCTTCAGGTGCTGCTGTTTGTTTTGCATGGCTTTTACAAAATCGGGTTTAAGCAAAGAAAGTTTCACTCGTGGCTGTCGCTTCAAAAACAGCTCGGCTGGAGTGCGACCAGTGGTACTGTTTGGGGTGTTTCGATAGCTCAGTAAAAAGCTATCCAAACGCTCGAGCAAAGAGTGTTTCTTGCCACTCTGTTTCTCGTCTAACAATTGCTTCAGCAGAGTTTTTTTTGTGGTCTGCACGAGACGCTCTGCTGCGCCGTTGGAGGCAGCATGATAGGGTGGCGTCTTAACGTGCTTGATGCCATTCACCCTCATAAACTCAGAGAACTCATCTGAAACAAACTGAGGTCCGTTATCACTCACCAGTACCTCTGGTAGCCCATAAGCCGCAAATACACTTCGCAATTTGTCGAGTGTTTTACCAGTAGTGGTGGAAGACATGGACCACACTTCGATCCATTTCGAGAAAGCATCCACCAGTACTAGGAAGACATGGCCTTCTTTAGCAGCAAAATCCACGTGTACTCGTTGCCACGGCTTAGTTGGATAGCTCCATGGCTGTAACGGTACAGGTGGAGCAGCGTTCTGAACAGACTGACATACGCGACACTGTCGTACGTAGCTCTCGATTTCTAGGTCTAGCCCTGGCCACCATACAAAACTTCTGGCAAGCATTTTCATGCGGCTAGCACCTGGATGGTCCTCATGCAACAGTGCCAAAACCTGTGACTGCAGCTTTTCAGGTACAATCACCCTTGAGCCCCAGGTGACGCAGCCTTGCTCAAATGACAACTCGTCACGTCGTACATGGTACGGTTTTAGCTCTTCGCTACTTTGGGCAGGCCATCCGTTCAGAACGTAGTTAGCTACGCGAGACAAGGTCAAGTCACGTTTTGTAGCTCTAGCTACGTCTTCCGCGGTCAAGGGAGTACTGTCAAACAACAAAAGACACTCAGCAGGGTCGTCAGCTGTTGTCATCGGTCGTGGGAGTCTAGACAGAGCATCAGCCACCTCGACATCTTTTCCTTTACGGTACTTGAGTTTGTACCTATAGGCTGCAAGAATCATTGCCCATCTTTGCATTCGAGCTGCCGCTAGCGTAGGTACAGGCTTATCGTGCCCCAGTATCCCAAGCAGTGGCTGATGGTCTGTATAGAGAGTGAACTCCCTACCATACAGGTAGCGATGGAACTTTTTCAGACCAAACATCAGAGCTAGCGCTTCTCGCTCGCACTGCGCATAGTTCTTTTCCGCTGACGTGAGCGTTCGCGACGCGAACGCCACTGGGCGCTCTTCCCCTTCTGGTGTTACATGAAAAATGACAGCACCAATCCCGTACGATGAAGCATCACACAGCAATGCAATTGGCTTGTCTACGTCGTAGAACGTAAGAACCTGGCTGTTTACGAGCAACTGCTTCGTAGCAGCAAATGCCTCGCTGCACTTCCGAGTCCACGACCACTTTTCACCTTTTTTCAACAACCGATAAAGCGGTTCAGCTACGCACGAAACATTCTTGAGAAACTTAGCGTAAAAGTTTAGCATCCCCAAATACGCCTTCAGTTCCGTTACGCAGGTGGGCTCGGGCGCTTCTGTGATAGCCTTTGTCATTGCTTCTGTCGGGTAAATGCCATCGGCACTCACCGTGTGACCCAGGTAGGTCACCGAGCTTTGGAAAAAACGGCACTTGTCCGTTTTCAAAGTGACATTGTAGTCACGAAGTCGACGCAAGACGCATTCCAGCGTCTTTTGACAGTCCTGGGTGTCCTTTCCAGACACGATGACGTCATCAATGTAGCATCCCACATGAGGTATGCCTTTAAGCACCTCGTCCATGAAGGACTGAAAAATGGCTGGCGCACTGGCCACACCAAACGGTAGGCGTTGGAACTGAAACAACCCCATGTGCGTGTTTATAGTCAAAAGTGGTTTGGACTCGGCAGCCAGCGGTACCTGCTGATACGCAGCAGAAAGATCCAGCACGCAAAACACTTTGCCACCTGCGATGGCAGTGTACAGATCTTCAGGTCGCGGCAGTGGGTAATGGTCGGTTTTTAGTACAGGGTTGATCGTTACTTTGTAATCCCCGCACAACCTGAGTGATCCATCTTTCTTGTGAATTACAACTACCGGAGTCGCCCACTCACTGTGACTTACGCGGCGTAAAACCCCGCTCTTCTTTAGCCTGTCCAGCTCTTCTCCAACCTTATCGCGTAACGCGTAAGGCACCGGTCTCGCCTTGCAAAAAACCGGCGTACAATCTTGTTTTAGAACTATCTTCGCTTGATAGTTGTTCGTGACACTAGACTGATTAGAAAATACTGTCGGGAACTTGTTACGCAGCGCTTCTATTCGGTGTGAATCAGTTACATGCTCCAGTGACATGACGCTTTTCCAATCAAGTCTGAGCCTCTCAAGCCAGTTCCGCCCCATGAGCAACGGCAATTTCTTGCCTTGGTTATCGACGACGATAACGGGCAGTTTCAAAGTCTGGTTTTCGTATGTGACGGAAACGTCACATTGCCCTTTTACCGGGATTCGTTCACCCGTGTACGTTTTTAGGTTTACCCGAGATGGCTCACACTTGACATGAGGGAACACGGTTTTCGCAACACTTTCAGGAACAATTGTTACAGCCGCTCCTGTATCAATTTGCATGAAAACGTCCGCCCCTTCAACATTGACTTTCACTTCATAACCCGAACGCACCGTGTTAAGGCAGTGATAGACGTCCAGTTCTGAATCGTCCTCCGAGCAGTCCACTGCATTCGCGTTCTTGGGTCCCTTTTTTTCGTTCGAGCACACTTTTTGCAAATGGCCTAACTTGCCACACTTGTGACACGTAGCATTCTTGTACCAACATTTGCTTGCCGCATGCGCCCTTCCACATCTTTCGCAAGACTTCTTGCTTTGCTTGTGTTTTCGAACGTCACGCTTATTGACGTTATCTTTCTGGTTCGCTCTTATCTCGTTCAACGACGCGTCTCTGCTTCCGGCGTGTAGTAACGCTGTCTGTCGTGCCGCCTGCTCTTGATCCAATGCGATCTTGCATGCCCTTTCGAAGGTTAAGCTTTCTTCGGTGAATAGCGCACGTTGCGTTTCTTCGCGCCGTATTCCCGCCACAAGCCTGTCCCTCAGAGCATCTTGCAGAAACTGGCCAAAGTCACACTTCCTTGCCAAATGCTTTAGCGCTACAATGAAATCTTCAACGCTCTCCTGTTCCTCTTGTACACGTCTGTTGAATTTGCACCTTTCCGCTATGACCGAGCTCTTCGGGCTATAGTGGTTTTTCAGCAAAACTTTCACTTCTTCGAACGACTTATCTCCCGGTACTGCCGGTACGACCAAGCTTTTCAGAACTTCGTAAGCTCGAGGTCCTATAACGGTCAAGAACACCGCTAGCTTCTTTTCTGGTTTGATGTCGTTTGCGCTAACGAAGTGCTCGAAACGCTCTAAATACGAGTCAAAATTATGTTGTTTTTCGTCGTATTCGTCAAGCTTTCCAAGAGGTGCCATATTTCGGCAAACCGACGGTGTACTTATCGGTTGCTGGCTTCCGTCCGTCGTGTCCGCTCCGTCCGTCGCCCGCTTGAGATGCGATGACTGCGCTGCTTTGGCTGTCGCTGTCCGTTCAGTTGGCCCCGCTCGTATGGTGCTCGTCTGCTGCCGTCTGCGACGCTTCCGCTGGGCAGCGCGGGTGCGTTGTCATCCTCGTCGCCAATGTGATAACTTGAGCAGACGACATTCCAACGGGCAAAGAGGGCTTCTTTATTGAACGTGCTATACTTATAGGCGCTTGTCACGTGACATCCGTGACCGGGGTGCGCACAGCCGATGCGCCGTGGTGCGCCGTGACTTGCAGCGCCACGCTGCTACACTAGTGACCAAAATTTAGAAATAAATTACAATGAAGTACCACTTTCAGAAAGTAATGAAATTCCTTCGCAATTACATTTTTACGGGAGTTACACAACTTCAATGATGCCGAAGTGGCAGTGTTAGTTCACACTAAGATGCATTCGTTTATTCTTAGTCTGACTGTTAAGGTTTCATAACGCAGCGATATAGTTAAATTATGCCGACTATGTTATTCACCCAAACTATGTGAGGTACATGATCATACTCAAGTTTTACCACCTGCGCGCGACAGTTTTATATCTAAAACTATCGTTGGATCTGGTGGTGCATGTATTAGCTAGAGACGAAAATACTGTAGACACTGACCTAGCGCGAATACGAAGACACAAGATTTTTTTTTCTTTTTTTTTTTCGTTTGTATTTTACAACTCGAGGGTTGTAACTAAACCCGCTTTTCAGTAAAATTCGGTCCACGACACTAACCTCTGTGAGCCAAATGTGGAAAGGCGCTGATGTCGCATCCCTTGTGTCCCAGACTCTCGGAAAACTGACCTAAATATAGCTTTCTTCTATGCTCCGCCACATGTATATCTCTGCAGCACCAGGTGCTGCGTCGCCGTCCTCATGTCCATACGCAAGACGTTATCGGGATGTCGCCCAAATTGAGCACGAGCTAAAAGACGGGGAGCAGCATTACTCACGGTAGATGTCAAATCAAGATCCCGTAACGAGCACGATGGAGCTGATCGTGGTAAATGAAGTTCCCGCACAAATATTGCGGTGCCGAAGGAATAATGCCCTTCAAGGGCCAACGCAAACAGAATATTTTACTATTTTACTTTGTCCAGCCTATACTGTGAACCATCAATTTATTTTTTCGCTGACTATTTATGGCATACATATCCTGACGTGTGTGTGTTTATGATGCGGCTCTTGTGTCTCGCCTTGTATTAGAGATTGCAAGAAATACAGGAGAATATGGAAGAGCGATAACCTCATTAAAGCTTGGACAAAACATAATATTGAAGTGAAATTCCGCCCACTCGTGCCACTACTGTTCATCAGAGTCCCGTGCCATTCAATGTGACAGTGCTGGAGGCGTAAGTGGGATAGAGATGCGACTGCGATGAATATATGACAGAAAACGAGATGTTGCCAGATTCACTTGGAGATGTGAAACCGGCGATTATCTAAGAGTTATAATAATTCATAATTTATTTGTGATGAAGATGCATATCCACAGAACAACGCAGGTTCGTCAAAGCCTTCAAGGGCTTGTGTGACTAAACCGAGGTTGCAAAGATATCAAAATAATTATCACAAAAGAAGATTAAAAGAGGAAAAACATAAAAAATTGTGCTCTGTACTAGAATTAACAATAGTTCTAGTTAAAGCTTAAGGTTCCAAATCACAAAAAAAAATGACATTTAATAAAACGAATCAGGTTATGTCACTTAAAAACATCACAGAATCGTTCCTTGAAGAGTTGCTCGATGCAGGGTACGTCCAGGTGAAGAATGAGTTTTTCAGTGCATGAGACCAGTCGCAAAATCCTTAGGAAAACAAAACAGAACAACAAAGATGACGCAGAATTGGGCATAAACAAAATTGAGTTATATCACAAATACACCACATTGAGGACGGCACCCTATAGGTGTCATTAATAATAACCACAAATAAAAAGCGATTTTGAATCAATCACCTTGGATTATACACAAAATGCACCAGTCAGAAAACACAGACCTAGTGACATTACTTGTGGCGACAAAAAGCAAACATTCGAATGAAATCAAATAAGGGCGTTTTGAGAACAAAGACTAAAAAACGAAAAACACACACACACACCACGCGCACACACACGCACACACACGCGCGCGCGCGCACGCACAAATGTTTATACATTTTTAGATGGACTCATCGGGAGACAGGAGGCGGCGAAGCGGGTTTCCAAGCTTTTTTCTGGAAGTAAAATCACGGAAGTTAGAAGCTAAGGAATTAAAAATCCGAGAAATGTAGAATGATCGCAATTTCTTGCCATAACGAGTATAACATTTTGGGATAAGAAATCGTGGAACCGTTCGCAGTTGTCGGATATTCCGACGAAGTGTTTTGAAGTCGGTATTCCAGTAGTGACCAAGGACAACCGTTTCCACAAACAGAGATTGAAAGTTTGGCATAGATAATATTTTTAACATATTCTGAGAAGAAGTGGTAGGCCTGTAGTAAACATTACGCAGCATTCCTTTTAGAATATTATTGACTTTTGTCTGCCATAATAAAGAGCAATTTCCAAAAATGGTGATTCCGTAGCGGAGGGACCCATACGTTAAAGAGTGAACTATGAGTTTCCTGAGATTGAGTGGTAGAAAAGTCTTGATGTTGTACATTAAGCAAGAAACGCTCCTTAACTTAGAACACAATCTTGTGAGGTGTAAATTCTAAGAAAGATCAGGATCAAAAATAATTCCTAAATACTTTACAGTGTGTGAGAAAGCGATGGGAGTACAATGGGAGTTGACACAGTGCGTTGTGTGGAGGAAAAAATGAGTATTTAGGTGAACTACCTTAAAGGCATTGTGAAAACATACTAACTTTGTTCTTGAGACATTAATATCGATAAGATTGTGGGCGAACCAGTTCATTTATCTTAAAGCCCATTCCTGGAACATTTCCATAGCCCTTGAAAAAGTAAGATGACTTGTTAACAAAAGAGTGTCGTCCGCGTATTAATAAAGAAAGCAATTCGAAATAGAGGTAGGCATATCATTTACATAGATATTGAAGAGTAAAGGTGAAAGTACCGAGCCCTCTGGGGCACCAGATTTTAAAGAGACTTTGACGCTGTGTATGCCTTTGATTGAAACCACCTGGGAACGATCTTGCAGGAAATTAGTCAGTAACGACAAAAAGGGACCCAGGAAACAAACAGCAGAAAGTTTTTGTAGTAAAATAGAGTCACTCACAGTATCGAACGCCTTTCTGACATCAAGAAAGCATGCGCAAATAAACAGGTTGTTCTCAAAACCAAAAATTTACCTCATCAGATAGCGCTTCGAGAAGGAGTTGAGTCCCACGACTAGGCACGGAACCGTATTGTGTGGGAGATATTATGTATTTTTCTACAAACGAAGACACAGTGATGTAAATAAATTTTTCGAATATTTTAGCAAGACATGGTAGAATAGAAATCGGCCGATAGTTTTCAACCTGGCCACAATGACCTCCTTTAAAAAGAGGTTTAGCAATAGCAGTGTTCAATTCGATGAGAATGGAAGCTGTCTCGATCATTGTGTTGAGCATAAGTAGAAGAGTATCTTTCAAGTACCTGAAAATTTCTACGCAGAATGCTAAGACATATTCCATCATAGCCCGGTGATGTTTTTGGCTTGAGCCCAAAGATGAGTGACTCGAGGTCCTGCGATGTCATTTCAGGAAGAAACGCGGAAGCTGAGTTCAGGGAGGGACTAGAAATGGTCGCTGTGGCCGATAGCCGGGCAATGCCCGAGAATGAGGCAAAAACAATTGTTGAAGGTATTTGCCGTAGCCAGTGAATTAAGCCCAAAGGCACCGTCAAAATTTTGAATATGAGGAGATGTAATACCACGTTTTAGCCGAGTTGCGTCTAGAATCAGAGAACTGCTTTCGAAAGTATAGAGCCGCTTAGCTGAGCGAATTAGCGCGCTGACTCTGTTCCGGATAGTTCTGAATTCTGGTTTGAAGATGGAATTATGCGGAGACAGGCGGCATCGCTTCCAGGCTATTTATTTCAGTTTTGTAGCAGACAATACTTTTTTATTTAGCCAGTGTATGTTGTCTTCTCTTTGTTTTACTACAACAATGTTTTTTCACGCTTCAGTCAACTGTCTAAACAGATGCACAAAAGTGAGATCAATGTCAGAACGTGACACGGAATTTTGAAATGTAAGCCGGTCATAAGTATAAATACAGTTGTCAAGACTATGGCGATCAACAATCTCAACGCGGTGCTTATTCTTGATACCTGTCACCAACGCATCTCTTGGGAATTCCAACTGACATCATGTAATATAGTGGTCCGATAATTTGTATGAAATGCTTGCTGCCTTTGTTGCTGATGTTGAAGATGTTAAATTGATATGAGCAATAGATGATATTGCAATTTTGTCTCCGAAGAGTTCTTCCCTTGTGGGGGCCTGAATCGCAGGCTCTACGCCGTAATCTGCCAAAAAATACTTGCAAACTAGTGCTATCGAAGGATTCAATAGATCAATGTTGAAATCCCCTACAAGAGAGAGGGACGCATTATTAGGCAAAGTTCGCAAACAGTCTCGCAGGTCAGAGAGGAATTCAGATACGTTTCCAGAAGGTGGCCTATAGAAGGCTAGCAGGTATATGTTTTAGACGGAAGTAAGAATATGCAGTGATATGGTGTCACATAATCGGATTGAAAACTTAACCTCCGAGAAAAACAAATTGTCCTTCAAAAATACCGCGATACCACCGCCGCACTTCTTGTCACGAGTATAGAAAGTGCTATTAAACCCCGGTGACGAAAATTGACCAACATCCTTATCGCGAATATTAATTTGAGCCAAAACAAACACATTGGCGATAAAACGTGCAGACTCAATGGCTAAGTAAAATTCACATCTGTGCTTTTAAATGTTTCGTATATTGGCATGAAACAAAGTAAAAATACTGCCTGCCCTTGTCATAAATATTTCTTTACATGAGTCTAGGTTTTTTTTATCTGAAAAAAAAAACTGTTCCTAGACATAAATCTAGGCTTTTATCTAACAATACTCTTCTTAGACGCCTAAACCAATTGTTTCAATGCATCAGTGTTGGGGATGCGAAGGAGTGGAAAATTCTGGCTTTGCTTTGGGAAAATTTTTCCGTGGCGCACCCATACAAATTTGTAACCCTTTT